CAAAAAAAAAAAAAAGAAAAAAAAAAAGAAAAAAAGAAAAGGAAAAAGAAAAGATAAAAAAAAAGAAAAAAAAGAATGAAAAGAAAAGAGAAAGAGAAAGAAAGAAAAATCGAGATTACCGGTCTTGGCTGCAACGTGCCAGCAAGTGTCGGGCAACGATTGATAATCGATCATGATCTGATGACGTAGCATGCGACATGAACGTTCACAAGAGATGCGAGGAGAGCGTGCCGAATCTTTGCGGATGCGATCACACCGAGAGACGTGGTCGTATAAACTTGCACATCTCGTGCTCCGGAAGCAAGCTCACCGTCGAAGGTACGTCCGTCAACTGTTTGATTTAACACCTGTGAACCTACTACGGATTTAGCTCTCGACTTTGCCCGCTCTTTCACTTTTCTTCGTCCATTGCAAAAAGACGGCACACTCTAGAAATTATCGAATTTCTTTTTTGCTGGACAAAATCTTTCTTCCGTAGTGCTTTTATCGACATAAATTACGTATAAGCAACGTAAATTAAATTAAAAACTTTTACAGTTTATATTTTGTATTGTTAGAAAAAAAAAAAAAAATAGAGTCAGAGTGGTGATGTCTACATCCGCGTAAAAATACCTGCCTACCTGCCACGAAGAAAACAAACAAAGGAAGGGACGAAGGGATCTGCAAAGCCGACGGCGCGGGCGGCATGTTTTCGATGTTATAATTATAGCCTACCTGAGCGAAATGAAAGTTATTTCCAAGCGGAATCGCGGAACGTGTGCGCGTGCGCGTGTACGGGTTTCCATAAAGTCTCTTTACAATTTCAAAAATTTATTACAAAGGCAAATCAAAAGGCAGACAAGCAGGAATTATTACAAAATGAGACGTATATATCTAAGTTTTTTCTTGCCTTATTTAATACATCTCTATATGGGCGCCATTAGTTGCGTTGGAACCCAATACCATTTATTACAATACCATTTGGTTTATTATATATAAATCAAATTTATTTAAAAAAAACTAGATATAAATAAATACGACAAACATCTAATTTCTAAATATGTATTTATTTATTTTATTTCACAAAAAAATAATATATATATATATATATATATGTATATATTACCGTTCTTAAATTTTTTGGAATAAGTAAAATTTATTTTGTATCTTTTGTATCAGGATTAATTTATTTATTTTAATAATTTAATTATCTCGAAAGTAAATGATCTAAATATATATATACACACACACACACACTTTCGAGATAATTCAATTATTAAAATAAATTAAATATATATATATTTAATATGAATATTATATTATTATTATTAATATTATATTATAATTTAATATAAATATAAATATTATAAATACATATATATATACATTGAGATCAGTTACTTTCGAGATAATTAAATTATTAAAATAAATTAATTATAAATTAAATATATATATATATATACATATTTAATATAAATATTATATTATTATTAATATTAATATGTTATTCATTAACATTATATTATAATTTAATATAAATATAAATATTATAAATATATATATATATATTTAGATCATTTACTTTCGAGATAATTATGTTATTAAAACAAATTAATTAACCCTGATACAAAAGATACGAAATAAATTTTACCTATTTCGAGGAACTTAAGAACAACGATCTCAGCCTTGTCGCGACGATTTAAAATCTGAAAGACCTGTCTGCTTTCGCCTTAAAATTTTGCAAAAAAAGGGGAATAGAAAGAATTTGTCAGAGAGACGGGAGATTACATTACACATTGAAACCGTATTAAAGTAAAATTGAATTACTTAGGTGTACCTACGTATGTAGGTACTTAGGCAGTCTTTTTCACACACTTTCCCGCGATAATTGCCATTAAAAATATCCTTGAGATCGATTTATCGACGCTTTCGTCAAACGAAACTGGCTCTCTGGTGGCACGAGAGGCGAGATATAGGGCCCCGGAGGGCCGTTAGGCGACGCGACGCGACGCGACGAACGCAACGTCTTTATTATTAGACGATTATTACCGGTGAAATTCAGCTTCTTTCGTCTCAAGGCCGGGATATATATTAAACGATCGTTGATTATCGTAAAACGAGGAAAAGAACCTCTCCTCGTTGCATCCTTCGTTGCTCGTGTGGGACGACCACGAGGGGGCGGTGGGAAGGTCGAAAGGCGCAAAAAACCGAGTGCTAAGCCGTAGAGATGCTCTCTCCTCCCCCCCCCCCCGCCGCCACGTTTGGCGGCACGTAATCGCGCTAAAAAGTCAAGCTCCCGCTGTGGATTACAGTGAAACAGGGACGAAATCTGATTCCGATGGATCCAAACGGCTTGTCGGATCCGTACGTGAAGCTGAAGTTGATCCCGGATTCGGACAACGTGAAGAAGAAAACGAAGACAATCAAGTCGTCGCTGAACCCCGAGTGGAACGAGACAATCATTTTGTAAGTGGTAGCGATAAAAAAAAAAAAAGAAAAAAAAAAAACGGCAGCGATTTTTTTCACGTCGTGCAGTATCTTTGACCTTTGACTTTTCTTTTTTTTTCAGCGACCTGAAACCCGAGGACAAAGACAGGCGACTGTTGATCGAGGTCTGGGATTGGGATCGAACGTCGAGGAACGACTTCATGGGCTCCCTGTCGTTCGGTATATCGGAGCTCATCAAAGCGCCGGCCACCGGCTGGTTCAAGCTCCTCACGCAGGAGGAAGGAGAATTTTACAACGTACCTGTGCCGGAGGAGGGTGTGGATCTTGCCGAGTTGAAGATGAAAGTGCGAGTGCGTTTTCTCTCTCTTTCTATCTCTCTCTTTTTTTCTTTCTTTCTTTCCTCCACGAACAAAACACCGACGACGAATAAAACCATCTAGCATCTAGCAGCTTCATTCGTTCTTCTCGTAGAAGACCTCGGTGACGAGAAAAACCACCGCCACTCAGGACAAGGAGGTGCCGCACAACATGGGCAAGAGCGACTTGATAAGAGCCAGCGATTTCAACTTCCTGATGGTGCTCGGCAAAGGCAGCTTCGGCAAAGTCAGTCGTCCGTATATGCACACGTGTATGCATTGAGGATAACGGAAAGTAACGAGGAAATGGTTTTTTACATTATGTTGCGATTGTCTTCCATGGCATTACTTTCCGCTACCCCTAACGTATATACACATATACAGAGTGGGCCGGAATTCATAGTACAACCGGTTCTACGTCAGAGAATAAGAAAAAAATTTGGTACAACATTCGGTTTTCGAGAAAATCGACACTAAAGTTTGTTCATTCTTTGAGTTTCCACGCAACGAATTGCCTTCGTTGTTAGAGGGTGTACCCTTGGCTACTGCAAGGAGTATGATTTTCCAACATGACGGTGCACCGCCGCGTCACGCGACGGAGGTTGAAAATTTTTTAAATCAAACGTATTCGCGTTGGATCTACCGCGATGGTAAGGCACGTTGGCCACCCAAGGTCCCCGGACCTCGCGCCTCTAGATTTTCTTTTATGGCGGCATGTGAAAGAACAAGTTTATAAAGACAACATTTCAAACGTTCGCACGTTCGAAGCAAACGATTATGGAAAAATTCGAGAAATTGAACAACGACATTGGCTTACATTCTGTTCAGACGTCGTCGATTCGTCGAGCAAACTTGTGTATGCAGCAACGAGGAGGACATTTTCAACGATACTTGTAACAGCGTACTGTGTTGTAGCGCTGCGATAGAAAGTAGTAACAAGGAATAAAAAAATTAATTATCAGTAGGGACACTTTGTACTGCTTTAATCACTCGATAAATAATGTTTGCAAACGCTGCCTCGGACGGAGACAACTACGCTGTAGAAGAACAGACAACTAAATCGTTCACAAAGATGAACAAACTTTAAAGTCGATGTTATACCAAATTTTTTTCTCATTCTTTGACGTAGAATCCACCGCCTGCACGAATTCGGGCCCACCCTGTACAGTTGCGCAATGATAAAACGATGCACACGTCGTTCACAGTTCCTAATGGTAATGGTATTGAAGGTGATGCTGGCGGAGAGGAAAGGTACCGACGAGCTCTACGCCATCAAGATCCTGAAGAAGGACATCATAATACAGGACGACGACGTGGAATGCACCATGGTGGAGAAACGCGTTTTGGCATTGTCGAGCAAGCCGCCGTTTTTGGTGCAGCTGCACTCCTGCTTCCAAACCATGGATCGACTCTACTTTGTGATGGAGTACGTAAACGGTGGCGATTTGATGTATCAGATACAGCAGTGCGGCAAGTTCAAAGAACCGGTGGCAGTGTAAGTATATTATACTCAATGGGAACGTCGTATTTTCACCGACAACCGAGCACTGTACCTTGTCGTCTTTTCTAGATTCTACGCTTCCGAAATAGCGATCGGTCTCTTCTACCTTCACGGCCGTGGCATCGTCTACCGAGATCTAAAGCTGGACAACGTTCTGCTCGATCAGGACGGCCACATCAAGATCGCGGACTTTGGAATGTGCAAGGAAGGCATCACCGGTGACAAGACCACCAAAACGTTTTGCGGAACACCTGATTACATCGCCCCGGAGGTTGGTGTTATCGCTCGTATACGCACTGTTGTACTGAAATGTGTGAGCGATACACATACAGTATCTATACATCCGTTTCTTTTTTTCTTTTCTTTGTTATCCTGTAGTTTGTTTTTCTGCATTTATACGTTTCATTTGTTTCTCTGTAAGCAGGGCTTGAATGAAACTGTTGAAATTTTCAATTTCAGTTCTGATATAACAGGTATTTCCTTACTTTTTAAGTTTTTCTGTTCTGGGAGAACAGTTTTATATTTACTGAAACTTATATTCCATTATATATATATATATATATGCATAGATAGAAAACTTCTAGTTGAACAGAAACAGTTATTCTGCTTTGGAAAATGTTAAATTTCTTTCAAACAAATTTACCATCAAGTATTATTGCATAGGTTTGAGGTTGAAACCTTGAATCATATAATTGCATAAAAATCCCATATACACTCATCTGTACTTGTCCTTGTTTTCAATTCCTTAAATAATGCTAATTAGTAACTGAAAAAGAGTAGAAACTTTTATATTCTACCTTCAAATATCTGTTAAGAAGCGAACGTTCCTTTCAGGACGTTTATTCGATCAAACACAAAATAACTGTTACAATTGAACTTTTTATAAGAGAATCAAAATTTTAATGCAACAGTTGATTTGAAACGGCAAAAGACATAATCTAGAAGCTGTGAAAGTTTACTAAACAACGTATATTTATAAAAGTTTACAGTTAAATTACAAGCCCTGCTGGGGGGAAGGAAAAAAACCTGCTGTGCCTTGTGTCTTTTTTTTTTTTAATCTGTCCTTATTTATTTGCTAATCTTAATCTTCTGCCATGTAGTTACCTTTATCAATTGTCGTGATTATGTATGCATGGATGATGGATGCTTGTACGTACCATTCTGCGTGGTAAGGATACAAGACTGTCTCGTTGCTTATTTACCATGATTCGGATAAATGCACATCCCCTCATTTCGTTGCAGATTATATTGTACCAGCCGTACGGCAAGTCGGTCGATTGGTGGGCATACGGCGTGCTGTTGTACGAAATGTTGGTCGGTCAGCCGCCGTTCGACGGAGAGGACGAAGAGGAGCTGTTCGCCGCCATCACCGAGCATAACGTCAGCTATCCAAAGAGCTTGTCGAAGGAAGCCAGAGAGATTTGCAAAGCGGTAAAAACCGCGATCAGCCACCACGATCAGCTTCTTCTCCTGATTCTGAATCACAAAAAATTGAATCAATCGTCTGCCCTTTTTTCAGTTTCTCACCAAGAACCCGGTCAAGAGACTCGGGTGCGGGCTACGCGGCGAGGAGGACGTCCGCAGTCACGCGTTCTTTCGGCGGATCGACTGGGAGAAGATTGAAAATCGAGAGGTGCAACCACCGTTCAAACCAAAGATCGTGAGTGTATTTGTATACAGCAAATTGAAGAGAAACTGTAAAGAAATAACAATAATTTCGTGAACTGTTCTGCTCTTGTAGAAACATCGCAAGGACGTGAGCAACTTTGACAAACAGTTCACCTCGGAGAAGACGGATCTGACGCCCACGGACAAGTTGTTTATGATGAACCTGGATCAAACGGAGTTTATGGGCTTCTCGTTTCTCAATCCAGAATACGTGCAACACGTTTAAGTCGATAGAGTGTCTAAGTCATTGGCTAGGTTTTAATCTCTCTCGTCGTACGTTTCCCCCCTCCCCCCACATTCTTCCTCTGACCTTCATCTTTCGACTCTTTGCTACTCAGGGCTTTCACCTTCGTCATCTCTTTCTCTTTCTATCTCTCTCTCTCTCTCTCTGTCTGTCTGTCTGTCCTTCCTTCCTTCCTCTTTTCCCTCACTGTGGGGTTAGGGCCTGTATCGATTGCCAAAGCAACCCGAAACTCTCTTCGTCTCATTCGTATCCCCTCCCCCCTTACCCCGCCGGAACAAAGGATCGCGATGTGTTTTCGTTTGGCCGCGAGAAAATGACGATCGGGGGATCGTTAGAAGAAAACGAAAGAAATAAGCTACAATCATTCGCTGAGGAGGCATCGTTCTACTCCTCAGAATATCGAGAATATTTTTCCTAATTACACGGCTGTCGTCCCTTCACCCTTCACCCCCAACACGATATTGCGTTGTATCGTTTTTACTTCGGTATGGTCCTATCGTTGCCTTCCAAAATACACACGTACACGACAAACAAACAAACAAACAAACAAACACACAAACACACACACAGACAAACGACACGTATTGAACAGATACGAATTAAATTATATTCTGATTGTCACTATCATGATTATTGTTATTATAGGTAATCTTACACATAATACGGAATAATGCGAAATTGTTATTACTCGTTACTACGTATTGAATTTCCATCCGCGTTTCCGTTCGACGTTCTTCGTCAGTCTTTCGTCAGTCTCTTTGCGAATCCTTTACTCGAAGTAGTCGAAGTATACGTATACACCTAAATAGTGTGCTCGAACGTTCTCATGCACCGGTTTTATCACGGATTGAAACTTACTTACTAGCGGGTACGATGCATAATGTATTCGATTTATATCCTCGTTTTTTCGTATATATATACATACATACATACATATATATATATATACATATACATATATATATTCTGCACTCGTTTACACGAACACTTGTACAGAGGTGCGCGAGGTGCATTTGTATGTACATTGTATGCACGCGCGCACCGCGAGTAAATATTCTACGGATACGATCTTCTTCTTACTTCGTACTTGTGTTTCCTACTATTGATCGAGATTGTCGGAGCACGTCTCCTCTAATCGTACGAGAATTCACATTACGTTGTAACATCCGCTGGCAGGAACGTGCTCGACGATCGGTACAACACCGGTAAGAAGATTAAAAAGATGAAGTAAAACTAATCTCGTACGACGGATGCGAGGGCTTGCTCTTGTTCTCTTTCTCTCTCTCTCTCTCTGGTCTTACTCGACTCTTCCGTTTCTAGGAGCGGTGAACTCGGGGAGGGGGGATGAACAAGGCAGGTCTCGCCTCCGTCTTGCTTCCTTTCGTTTGTCGATTTCGAGGTCACAGGTCTCTGGTTCGAAGTCGCAAAAGAAAGGGCAATCGCTTCGGTATTCCCTGGTGAAAACTCTTCTCGTGCCTGAAATCCTCGCTCCAGTGATATAAGCCTTTTCTATTTTCGAGCTTGTTGCGGCTCGCGTTATCGAGGACGAGAACGAGGGTGGCCCGTTCGCGGAGAATCGTGGATAACCGTCTCCTCCTCGATTCCTCTTTCTCGGTCGGCTAGCACGCCGATGACACTCGATCGTAGGATTAATCATTACTTGTCGATTAAATGCGCGTAATTGTTGTAGCTAGATGTGTATGTGCGTACGTGTATACATACGCATGTATGTACGTACATGTACATACACGAGTACACATTTACGTATACACGTGCAGAGTTGACTGATTCGTTGACTAAAACGGACATGCCCTTTTTTTCTACACGTGTTTCGCGTATAAGGTGGTTTATAATCGTTTCAAGTGACGGTGGTGCGACGGGGCGATTCCACGTCAAAGAATGAGAAAAAAATTTGGTATAACATCGACTTTAAAGTTTGTTCATCTTTGTGAACGATTTAGTTGTCTGTTCTTCTACAGCGTAGTTGTCTCCGTCCGAGACAGCGTTTGCAAACATTATTTATCGAGTGATTAAAGCAGTACAAAGTGTCCCTACTGATAATTAATTTTTTTATTCCTTGTTACTACTTTCTATCGCAGCGCTACAACACAGTACGCTGTTACAAGTATCGTTGAAAATGTCCTCCTCGTTGCTGCATACACAAGTTTGCTCGACGAATCGACGATGTCTGAACAGAATGTAAGCCAATGTCGTTGTTCAATTTCTCGAATTTTTCCATAATCGTTTGCTTCGAACGTGCGAACGTTTGAAATGTTGTCTTTATAAACTTGTTCTTTCACATGCCCCCATAAAAGAAAATCTAGAGGCGCGAGGTCCGGGGACCTTGGGTGGCCAACGTACCTTACGATCGCGGTAGATCCAACGCGACTACGTTTGATTTAAAAAATTTTCAACCTCCGTCGCGTGACGTGGCGGTGCACCGTCATGTTGGAAAATCATACTCCTTACAGTAGCCAAGGGTACATCCTCCAACAACGAAGGCAATTCGTTGCGTGGAAACTCAAAGAACGAACAAACTTTAATATCGATTCCCTCGAAAACCGGGCCCCAGATAAAAAAAAATGTTGTACCAAATTTTTTTCTCATTCTCTGACGTAGAATCGCCCCCCGCTCGGTTGTACCACAAATTTCGGCGTTGAAGCACGAAGCCGTCAATAACCTTTGGACGACGACGCTCACCCTCTCGAGAGCGATGTAGTCACCAAGAACTCGTATCTTTTCTTTTCTCTCCTCGACTCCAAAGGATCGGCCACTCTTCCGTTTATCGTTATCTCGCGTTTTGACATCGAGGGGAAAAATTCGTTCCGAAAGGGAAGAGGATTCAGCGCGATCGTTGGGAACTAAACGTTGAAACTTGGTAACTCGCGCTGCCTCATCACGGCGGTCCGCGCGTCCGAACAACGAAAAGATACGAGTTCGCGAGTTTTCTCGAAAGAGAGAAAAAAAAAAAAAAAATGTCGGGCGTAACAGTTAACGTGTCTGATTAAGCGTGTTCCAATAAGTAACGTAATTATTCGTAACGTAGTTCTCGCCCCCCTTATTCAGCGAGCGACTCAATCTTGTTCTTCTATCGGCGAGTCGAGCGGATGTTTACGTAATCTCGTCCGCGTTCCAGCTGCGATCGTTGGATCGCCGATTTCGATCGAATTCGCCCGGGCTTCAGTGGCATCCACACTCGCCCAGATTTCCTTACTGCTTCGCGTAGTAAGCTTCCAATAAACGATCATTTCGATAATCAACAAACAAGCCTTTTCGGAACGCGAATTTTCCACCTTTCGCCGTTTCGTTTCTCACCGGGTAAGCGATCATTCAGATCTTCTTTCGCCCAAGGTCGAAATATAATTCACCGGGAATTGGAATCGAATTGGAATCTCGACGAGGTTCGAATAAATTGCCCTACGCACGAGACTGCGTAATCTCCGCTCGGGATCTATTTTTGTACTAAAAAAGGAAAAAAGAAAAAAAAGAAAAAAAAAAGAAAAGAAATAGAAATGAAATTCGACGAGAGAAATCGGCCGTAAAAAACGATCGATGGCGATTCTTCCTTCTCTTGCTCGTCGTCGAGAAGGAGCGTTTCACAGTTACAGTTCTTTCCCCCCACCCCTCCCCACTCCCCCCTCCCCCCGTGGCGACGACTAACTTTCGTAAACGCTGTTTCAGTGTTTTGCGTTGGAGGAACGAGGAGTCTAGCAATCGAGCGTTCTCCAAATCGGTACGACGCGACGCGACGCAAAGTATCTGGCAAATGCTCACGTTCTCGTCGTTTATTGACTGCGTCTTATGTTGCGTAAGTTAAGCTTAAACGAGCTTCGCTCGACGCTGGCGTTCCAGCGAAGCGACGCGGTGTATTATTATTATTATTATTACTATCATTACTATCATTACTATTATCATTATTATTATCATTATTATTATTCAGAGTCGTTGTGCCGATTTGTCTCTTTTGTTCTTCTCTGTCCTCTTTTGGTTTTTCTTAAAAAAAAAAAAAAAAAAAAGAAAAAGGAGAAAAAGGAAAAAAAAAAGATCTCTCTCTATCTATCGATTTTTCTTTATCTCTCTGTTTAGGGGTAGTTTACTTTCTCCTCCTCGATTCTGCTTCTGCCATCTTTTCCCTTTTATCCCTGGCCGCACTCTGTCCGCTGTTCTTAATAAAAACTCGCGCGTTTTATTAAAAGTAAGGGGTAGAGAACAGGGGGCAGTCGTTTACGCAGTCTTCTCAGCACGACGAACAGACACGTTTTGTTCATCCTCGTTGTCCTCGAGAACTCGTGAATCTCGCGTAAAATCGAAAGCAACAAACGTTTGCAAATGTGTCTGTTTGTCCCGCGAAAGACCGACAGCAGCACTAGTAACCAATGACAAAAAAAAGAAGAGGACGAGATCGGGATGTTCGAAGTTTTAGCGAATGTAATCCACGTAGTTCCGATCACTCTCCAAAGTTGTAATTCCGTTCTTTTGCTCTCGATTATACACGTCGTACAACACTACACTTACACACACTAAACACACACACGCGCACACACACATACGTTCGCTCGTACACACAAACACACACACACACACATATTTTTAAAATGTTTTGTGCATTTATAATGTCGTAATAAAAGTTTCGAATCGTGTCATGAGAAAGATTATTCGTACGTATGACGTGCACCGACACTGTGTCGACACTGGCGACAGCCGCGCGAAGCATTTTGTTCGCGTTTGAATTTGCCGCGCGGTTGGTAATGGCGCAGCTGGCAATGGCGGCTGCCGCAGTAGCGCGCTCTGCCGGTAGTAGTTACCGACCGCGAGAAGACGCCACTTGTGTCGTTGCAGCGTCGTCGGGAGTCGAATCGTTTGAACGTTCGAACGACTCGCCGATCGAAATCATCGTCGTTGTTGACATTTCGCTCAACACACACACTGGAACCGTGTACTCGACGTCGCGATCGTTGTTTTGTTTCGCTCGTTCGACCTCCGTGACTCAACCAGCTCAACGTCTACTTTTTTTTCTCTCCCTGAAATCAAATTTTTTTCCCGACCGACGGGATACATTTTCGAACTCTCGCCACGTGAGCGAGTCGCGTCAATCGAAGTCGTCAGACGACAGTTCGTCTTCGAGTCGACTAAACGCGTTTGGATCAATTGTGCCGGTCTGTGAAATTGATTTGAAACGCGCGACGCGATACGATCGTCGAGGAACGTGAATTGGACAAATCGAGGCTCGAGAATTGCGCTGCGCGGCAATTCCAAAGTTTGCGAAACGAGTCCCGATCAAAAAACATGGTGGTTACGTGTTATCACACGAAAACTATTCGACTGCGGCCGACAGGAATCGAGATGGCAGTCAGGAAGCATCGATTTCGACAGGGGTAAGTTGTTTCTTTTATTTTTTCATACACACACACACACGCATACATACATAAACTCGAGTAAATACCAGATAATTTACGAATATATAATTCATTTATTTCGTTGATACTTGATACGTGCCAGAATATTTCTACGCTATAGTCGATATAAATTGGCTAAGGCTTTGGACTATCTCCGGTATATTTGCGACTCGTCGTCGCGAGACGTTGACCGTTACGTCGGTGCGGTTGAGGTTGCGTCCGCACGTGTTTACATTTACAAACTATGTACAACTTTGACGCGTAAACATAAACATAAACATAAACGACAAAAAGGAAAGGAGGATTGGGAGGGGGGGGGGGGGAAGAG